AAAAGGGTGTGGGCTCCTAGACCCAAAGGAACCTTTACTTGTGCTTCTTACTTCAAGTCCATCTCTCARMATTCTRCTCAACAACCCTTTCCGTCAAAGGAAATTTGGTGTAGGCCAGTTCCCCCAAAGATTATGGCGTTCTGTTGGGAAGTATTATGTGGGAAAGTAAACACTCTAGATAATCTACAAAAGAGAAGACATTTCCTCTGTATTTCTCCCAATTGGTGCATCCTTTGTAGATCTCACGGGGAGGGTTGTTACTATCTACTAATATCGTGTCCTTTTTTTTGCAAACCTTTGGGCTTGGCTACTTTCGTTGTTTGGGAGTAGTTGGAGTCTACCAACAGAAGTTCGCATGATCTTTAACCATTCTACTTTCTCTTGGCCTACAAAAAGAGGGAGACTTATGTGGAGATGTGCTCACGCTGCCCTGATTTGGACTCTTTGGGAAGAAAGGAGTGCTAGAATTTTCCAAGAAAAGGAAAGGAGCAGTCAGGAATTGAAAGATTGTGTGTTGCATAGGGCAATACTTTGGCTGAAGACTTTGGAAAGCTTTCATCAATTTTCTTTTAATAACCTTTGGAGAAACTGGTCAGCAGTAGAGTAGCGAGGTGTTCACCCATCAAGGAAAAGTCAATCACAAGCTAGTCTCCTCCATCTGAAGGTTCACTAAAACTAAAATTTGATGGAAGTAGCATGAGTAATCCAGGATTATCCAGAACGGGGGGTGTCTTAAGAAATGAGAAGGGAGAGATTTTGTTGCTCTAATCGGATCCTTTAGGAGTTGGGAACTACCAGAGTAGAGCTATTAGCTGTTGTACAAGGGGTGCAATTTGAAAACCAGCTAGGGTACAACATCTAATAATTGAAGGGGATTCCAAAGTGATGATGGGCTGGTTGAAAAATCCTGAAGAGGCTATATGACGCTACAAAAACAAAATGAAGAAATTTAGTTGATTGACAAGGAATATGTTGATCTCTTTATAGTGGGTGGGGAAATCAACAAATACTTTGTCTGGTATGTTAGCCAAGCAAGGGGTAAATAGGGAAGAATTGTTTTAGGCTCAACTGTGATTCTTGTATTTCTTTCCTAGTTTACTTCTAAGATTCAAAGAGGGGTTGTAGCTCGCACCTCTCCCTAGGATGTTGTATGAATTCACAACTCTAAATCAGCTTTTGAATTAATAAAATTTACTTTTATTCATCAAAAAAAACAATGATCAAGGAGGCTTTTATTTGAAATATGAAGACATATAAATGAACATCAATGACTTCATTTGAGGGCGGTATACTATATGGATAGATAGGATTTGAGTTGTTTCTTTGTAATACATATAATTGATTAATTGTACGCATTAATGAAAATTCTTGACTACAAATAAGTGCAGAGGCTGTTTCCAAGATTTGAACCCTGGTCACCCAAGTCACAATGGAGCAACCCAACCATTGCACCAAGGCCCCCTGATCAATAATAAGTATTGTCCATTATATGTGCATTCCCTGCACTCCTATGTATGCAGACTTACAGTAAAGCCGGTAAGAATGATCAAGAACAGAATATTTAAAACAATTTCGTTTAACAACATTTGCCTAAGAAAAACAAATTTCAAGATATCACATCCAAACGTCACAATAAGTGATCAGAACAGTACCAGATTCTAAGACATATGGGACAGATAGGGGGTCCAACGACTTCTAGATCTGGTAGGGTGAAGAGTAGAGATAGAGAAGCAAGTAGATTAACTTGTACTTTGGTTATTAATGGTGAAAAACAGAGATAGAGAAGAAAGTGGATTAACTTGTTGTGATGGGAATCAACTTAAGGTGTTTCAAAAGCAACCCAAAGACTGTTATACCCCTAATGGTGAAAAATAGAGAAAGATCTAAACTTGAGAGAAAAGATCAGTCACTTCTCAGCCGAGCAGATTTATTTATATGTTTGTGAGAGTTATACAAAGACTGTTTACTGTTATACCCCTAATTAAGTATGGGATACCCTACTTAAACTGAAACAAAATATACAAAACGTCTTTTAATAAGCCAGCCTATAATGACTAAAATATCCCTCAACCAACTCTAACAAGTACCGATATGAGGTGTATCATATGGATAGTTTGAACCCTGGGTTCAACATAAGGATTCTGCTCTTCCATTATAGACTCCAATTTGGGCTCATACACTGACAAATAAAACAAAGAATTTCCAGTTACTTCAAAACTAAGGCAAATCCAAAGGTCACATATGGGATGTTAAGGGCCCGCAAATAGGATCTCATCACAGGTCGGTTAACGGGGAAAACTTCTTGTTTTCCCTTGTTTCTCCCTTTTCTCGAGGAACCTATCTTTAGCGCCTTTATGGTGATTTGTTAAAGAGATCACCAACTCTCCTCTGCTCTTTCTTGATTGAAATTATCGATAGTTTTATTGAAAAACATCTGCTCCTTTAAATAGAAATTACAAGAGTCCTTCTTAAGGAAACTTTCTAAAAAACATTAAGAAACTTTCCAAAAAGAGACTTTTTAAAAAAACATAAGGAAACTTTCTAAAAGGAAACTTTCTAAAAAAACATTAACTTTCTAAAAGACATAGGAAATAATAATGCTACTGCCTAATTAATAGGAACATTGAATTTAGCTAAGAGATAAGATAGGAACACTAAATCTAGCTAAGAGATAAGATAGAAACACTGAATCTAGCTAAGAGATAAGATAAGATAGGAACGCTGAATCTAACGCCCATTACTGCTGTTGTCTGTGGCTGTATTCCTTTCCAACAAAAGCATCCACAATATTACTCCCCTCCTGGACTAAGAGCTTGTCCTCAAGCTCAAATTCAGGATGGGTGTCTTGAAACACAGTCAAAGGAATCAAGGTAGCTTCAGCCAATGGTAAGCTAGCCCATTCCACCAGAACCTCAACACCTTGATTAATTCTGAAACGAACAATAGACTGAGGTTGGGGAATGATTTTGCCCTCCTGGATCGAGTTTCAATGAAGAGGCTTCATCCTCATCTTCCTCTTGTTCCACTAGGAGACAAAAAAGTCTCTTGCACTTGTGCCCTGCTGAGTAAAGTTCTTCACAATTAAAACACTATCCCCTTGCCCTACGTTCCGCCATCCCAGCCCTGGATAAGCGCTTAATAGGGGGTGCAACAACGCTGCTTCCCACACTGGATGCCGATCTGGAATTGTTGCTCGCCTGTGGTTTCTGTTCTTGGCTGGCTATTGAAGATGGAGCCATTCCGAGTGGTTTCGGGGCTGCTCATGTTGTTTGAGACCGCCCTATACTGATACTTCTGCGGTTGAGTTGCAATTTGCATTCAAAAGCGCGAGCCAAATTCATAGCAGTAACCAGATTGGGGGGATACCCTCAAAGTTTCCGCTAACCCCGCGGTGAACATGTCAACCTATTGGTTTGGTCGTACCGAAGATGCTCTTGCAAGGAGGGTCTGAAACTGACGCTGATACTCAGCCACAATTCCAGTATGTTTGAGGTTGATTAGTTCACCTAATGGATTGCTTGTTAATGGGGGCCCAAATCTGAGAAGGCARTAGGATTTGAATTGGGTCCAACTGAGCCCAGGTTCCTCCTGCTCCAATTTATAAAACCAGAGTTGTGCCTCCTCTGTCATGTGGAATGTAGCTAAGCCTACCTTGTCCCTGTCTTCTGTCCATTGGTTGCAGAAGAACTGCTCACAGTTGTACAACCATCCCATAGGATCTCCAGTTCCATTATAGGAAGGAAATTCCAGCCTACTGTATTTGGGAACGATCACGGTTCCCTAGGCAACGACCTGCAGCTCGCCGGACAATTCTACCATGTCTGGTCGGCGGCCGTCTATGGTTACAGCCCCTTCTGAACTCTTTTCCTTGCTGGAGAAATATAACTCCATCAAGTGCCTCAATTCTTGGACGTCATCCTTGATCTCATGCACCTCCTTGCTATTTTCCACAAGTTTGTGCTCCAAATCATGAACCCTAGTCTTCAATTGCTCAAAGTCACCCATGACGCCCTGCTCTGATACCAAATTGTTAAGGGCCCGCGAATAGGATCTCATCACAAGTTGGTTAACGGGGAAAACTTCTTTTTTTCCCCTGTTTCTTCCTTTTCTCGAGGAACCTATCTTTAGCGCCTTTATGGTAATTTGTTAAAGAGATCATCAACTCTCCTTTGCTCTTTCTTGACTGAAATTATCGATAGTTTCATTGAATAACATCTGCTCCTTTAAATAGGAATTACAAGAGTCCTTAAGGAAACTTTCTAAAAAACATTAAGAAACTTTCCAAAAAGAGACTTTCTAAAAAAACATAAGGAAACTTTCTAAAAAAACATTAAGAAACTTTCTAAAAGACATAGGAAATAATAATGTTACTGCCTAATTAATAGGACCACTGAATTTAGCTAAGAGATAAGATAGGAACACTGAATCTAGCTAAGGGATAAGATAGGAACACTGAATCTAACGCCCATTACTGCTGCTGTCTGCGGCTGTATTCCTTTCCAACAAAAGCATCCACAATACGGGAACACTCAAATAAGGACCGACTCCTAAAATTACTCTTGTAATATTCTACTAATCCTGCTACAACTAGACAAACCAAAAGCAAATTCCAAAAGAGACCAAGAAATAAGACTGAAATATCGTTACAAACACCGTACTAATAAAACAACTATGACTTAACACATTGGATATACAAGATATTAGTCTTGTAGGATAGATAATTGAAAAGCCTATCCAGTGACACGAAAATCATGAAAAATGGACAAGTTTAGACCCCTAATAATTAGGCACAGAAAATCTTCCCAAATTAGCAAAAAAAAAGACAACAAAACTATCATGACCCTCCAAAACATTTAACCCTATATGCAAAGAAATTAGCAAAAAAAAACTCTTATAAGGCTCAAAATTGACCAATAAACTAAAATCCATGGAATTACCACTCATGTAGGTGAAAAAAAACCAGTATTATAAAATAAAAGGAGAAGGAAAGAATACATTACATTTGGATCATAAGGAGTTACTGAGAGAGTCTGGGAATCTATGACAGAAACAACAGCAACATGATTTAATGGCATCTTCATACCACTTGTTTCTATTATAATATGATCAAGCATTCCTGCAAAGACATTTTCCAATGATCATTTCAAGTAAATACACCAACCACACCAGAAACTCTTGAAAAAAATGCACAATGTACCTGCAGATGCCCTTCCTGTCCGCAGTTTGCTCAGCTCTCTCGATAAAGCATCTATAGCTGCTTGCATCTGTGAGAGAGCAGTTGCCTTAACACTAGGTCCAATATCTGGCACCATTTCAACTGTATTTGTATCATCATCATCAGCTCCTACAAAAAATACGTCAAAAGGTGTAAAGTTCAAACTCAACAAAAAAAAAACATCCACAATCTGAACTGGACAGATAACAACCAGTCAACCATAGCTGGAAAACTTCTAGAACAACTAAGAAAATTGGCAATTCTTCTCACAAGCCTATTCTGCCTTTATCATCATGGATGCAAGAAATAATTTTGGAGAGGGAAAACTAGCTGTTAAAGGCAGTCTCCCATCTTTCATAGATGTTTCAACATGGTCTCATGTCCACTTCAGACATTTGAATTTAGGACCAATTCACTTCAATAGGTCTTAATAAACACTTTCTTCCCCCTCTACAACAAAACAAATGTAAACTTGGTGCAAATTCCTTGTTCTATAGTCTATACCTTATCCATAACATGACCTTACCACATCTGGGTAGCAAAGTCTACCATTCATTCTACATGTGCAGGAAGTGTATTCTCATTGAACCATAACTATTTTTTGATGAATATTGAACCATTAAATGTTCTAGCTATAATACTTCAAGGATTCAAGGATCGAAATATGACTAGAGACTTGTAAATATAGAAACATTTCTTCAGTTTAGTGACTGTTGTCAACAATGTGCTTTATAGAAACAACTGATTTCGAACTTTTGAACATAAATTTTCCCTGCATTTACCATTGGTTTTGTTTAGCTTAAACTTTGAGAAGGCTTAGAAAGGCTAGTGTAGAATAAGAACTAAAAGCAACTCAACTCAAGAAAACCTTTTCAGTTTTCCCAACTATGTTCATTTAGCTACATGAATCATGTTTTCCCATTCCACTCTATTGTATAGACAACTTTGATAGTTTATAAGAAAGTAAAAATGTTGTTACAAAAGCTAACCTAAGTGGTCATTTCACATTTCTCCTTATTTTTCTTGCTTCATATCAATCTCTTAATAACTTGTATATTTGGTACTGTTTCCCAAATTGTTACTCACTTCAATCAGGCCACCTTGTCTAGCTCTATTGCATTGCTAAAACAATTTTTTTTATTAATTTACCTGAAACAATGCAACACAATAATTCAATATGCAATGAATAACTATTTGATTATATAAAAACTTTCAGGATGGAATAACTATCTTTTTTTAAATTCATGAATAAGCCGAATCCCACCTTTTCTTTTTGTTAGAGTTATCCAAATAAAGGTAGATTAGTCTTTTCATTCTATTTAAGTTATATGCTTATGTGGCAGTCCTAATATTACTTCTGTAGACATCCTGTCCCATACTAAAGTGGGGGCAGTTTAGTCTTTGTACACTAATTAGAATCCCTAATCCATATTATGGTCAACTAGTAGGGTTTAGCCTACTAAGTTCGACTGGTTCGAACTGTTGAAGCTACTGCAATAACATGGTATCAAAGCGTTAAGCAAAGGAGAAAAAGGCTGTAACACCAAGTTTCATATTCTGTGATTTCTCCTTCTGGTTTCTCCTTCTCTGGGCTGCGAAATCTGAGGCACTCAGTCTAGTAAGTGCAGCACTTTTTATTTTTCTTAGGACTGCCGCAGTCCCTATTTCAAGTGTTAGGAAGGTGTGGCAGCCCTAGGATATCAGTTTCATACTGCTGTCACCATGTGTGACAGCTTTGGTCGTGTGGTGGTGTTTGTGATGTTCACCCTCTATTGAGCAGTTTCAAGAGGGTTTGTGTGTGGTTGGTTGAGTTGTTGAGTTGCTGTCATTGTGATTTATGTTTCTGAGTAATCAATAGTGGTGTGAACAAGAAAAAAGTCTGTGTTTTTGTGCTGGAAGGAGTGGCCGAATAGTTTACATCAATATTCTGACTTGTTGCTATCTGAATTATAGTTTACACTTTTTTTTAATCTGAAATGGTAGCTGAACCTGTCTGAAACATCAAGCTCTTAATTTGAATGTTAGTTTACATAACGGTGGTTGACTGTGACTGGTTGTGAACCTATTATCTGTGTTTGGAGACTGCTGTAGTGTTAGAAGCACCCATTTGGAAGCTGCCGTAGTGTCTGGAACATCAAGCTCTTGACAGCAATACTCATTTGGTGACTAGGGATTCAGCATTAGAAGTAGCATTGGGAGGACATAATGGCAGCAACTGGAGATGGTTGTAGTGATCAGAAACCTGGTGTGATGATTCCCTCCAACTATCTAGGTGTGCAGATGACTTCAATTAAACTTAATGGTGAGAATTATATGCCATGGGCCAAGTCAATGAAAGTTTTTCTCAAGGCAAAGAGGAAAGTGAAACATGTGAAGGAAGATAAACCATCAGCTGAATTTCCAGGGTTTGATGACTAGGAACAGGAAGATGCCCAAATCATGACATGGTTGTGGAACAGTAATGGAACCCAAAATAAGTGCCAACTTYATGCTCTTAGATACAGCTAAGGACATATGGGAACATGCCAAGAAGCTTTAGGGGGTGTTTTGTAGTGTGGATGAGAAATTGGTGGGTGTGGACTGGTCCACACCACACCTTATGACAGGGACCAATCCACACCACACCACAGTCCATAGCTGTTCTGACCGTCCACGAAGTTATAAATGGTTCCGAACACCACCTTATTTTGGACAGGATAATACTACGAGGGTAATATCAGCTCTATCAGGAGTATTTCGATCTGCAGCAAGGGAATAAAACCCTAGAAGAGTACTATGCTAATATAAGAAACCTCATAAATGAATTCAATGTCTATCATCCCCCAACTCCAGATGTTAAGGTTCAGCAACAACAGAGGGAGCAATTGGATGTCACTAGGTTCTTAGTGGGGCTGAAATCAGAGCACGAACCAATTACAACCCAAATATTGGGAGTCTCTACTCTTCCTACACTTGAGGAAGTATTTGACGACTTCGCAGGATTTCTTTGGGATCTATAGAGAGCACCACACCTTCTGACAGATCAGTATTTGTAGTAGCCGGAGGAAGTGGATGTGGTACTAGAGGGAGAGGACATGCATCTCGAGGAGGTCGTGGTGGTTCCATGTTTGGCCGTGGTGGTAGTCGTGACTCAGGGGTTGGCTGTGGTAAAGGAAAAGGTTAGGAAGTGTATCCATTGTGGCAGGTAAGGGCATTCAATGAATTTCTATTATGATCTCCATGGCCCACCTTTTACATGGGCTAATCATGCAATAGCTGGTGGGGTTGATGTCAGTGATAACCAACAAACAGATCTATCACCTTCCACGTCTACATCTGTTTCCCAGAAGGAGATGAGTGTACCGCGAGATGAGTATGAGAGGTTCCTTCAGGCTACTTCACAACATACTACAACCACCCTTGCACACTCAGGTATAGCTTGTTTGGCATCCAAACCCTCTCCCTAGATTATTGACTCTAGAGCCTTTGATCACATGACTGGGACTCCCAAGTGTGTTCTCTTCCCTCTCCGAAACTTCCACATCTCAAACTGTTACCCTTGCCAATGATTCCTCCTCTCCCATCTGTGGTGTTGGTAATATTGGCATGGCTTCTCTTTCTTTATCATATGTTCTATATATACCTAAATTTCCATTCAATCTTATGTCAGTTAGTAAATTAACTAAGACCCTTAATTGCTCTATTATATTTTTCCCTTCATTTTGTATTTTTCAAGATCTCAAGACGGGGAAGAAGACTGGTGAAGGGCATGAAGCTGGTGGATTGTATTATCTTGACGATGGTGGATCATTAGTTGCACTTCAGACTTGCCTAACTCCTCTACAATGGCATTGTCGGCTGGAACATCCATCTCTCAAGGCACTCAAGATACTGGTTCCGTCTTTGAATCATTTGTCTTCTTTACAGTGTGAGTTGTGTCAATATGGGAAACATATTGGCCCTTGTTCCAACTTGACATTAAAAATGCCTTCCTCCATGGTGACCTTATGGAGGAGGTATATATGGAGCAACCACTTGGGTTTGTTGCTCAGGGGAGGATGATAAGGTGTGTAGACTGAAAAAGGCAATTTATGGGTTGAAACAATCTCCTCATGCTTGGTTTGGGAAGTTTAGTAAAGTGATGAATTTTGGAATGAAACAAGGTCAGGTTGGTCACACGATGTTCAACTATGATTCTGTAGCCAAAAAGATTTTATTAATAATCTATGTGGATGATATTGTCATACTTGGCAGTGACAAGTTGGGGATTGATAAACTAAAGGCCTTACTGCAAGACTATTTTCAAACAAAAGACCTTGGGAAGTTGAAGTATTTCTTAGGTGTAGAAGTTGTCAGATCAAAACAATGTGTAAATTTGTGCCAAAGAAAATATATCCTTAATCTACTGGATGAAACAGGGTTGTTAGGTGCGAAACCGGCTAAAACTCCCATGGAACCAAATGCTAAGCTAAGCAATGATACAGGTGAAATATTTGATGATCCTGGAAGATATAGATGGTTAATGGGGAAGCTGAACCATCTAACTATCACAAGACCTGACATCTCCTTTGTTGTCAATGTGGTGAGCCAATTTATGCAAAATCCCCAGATACCTCACTAGGATGCAGTTCTTAGAAAATCTACTACAGCTTACTGCACATTCCTTGGAGGAAATATGGTGACATGGAAGAGTAAGTAGATCGTTGTGGCAAGTAGTCATGAAGCCGAATACAGAACCATGGCACACACTACATGTGAACTAATATGGTTGAGAAACCTCCTACAATAAATTGGATTCTTGTACTGTGATAATCAAGTTGCAATTCACATCTCATCTAATCCTGTTTTTCATGAGAGAACAAAGCACATAGAGATTAATTGCCATTTTGTGAGGGAAAAAGTCCTTACTGGAGAGATAAACACAAAGCATGTGGGCTCAGGTGATCAGTGGGCAGATTTGTTTACAATAGGTTTGAGCTCAGAGAGAGTAAACTATATATGTAGCATGCTGGGATTATATGACATATATTCTCCAGCTTGAGGAGGAGTGTTAGAGTTAACTGAATAAGGGTAGATTAGTCTTTTCATTATGTTTAAGTTATATGCTTATGTGGCAGTCCTAATATTACTTATGTAGACATCCTGTCACATACTTAAGTGGGGGCAATTTAGTCTTTGTACACTAATTAGAATCCCTAATCCATGTTATGGTCGACTAGTAGGGTTTAGCCTACTAAGTTCTTCTTCTCTTCTCCTCTTTTTCCTTCATTCTCTACTCGTTCGAATTGCTGAAGCTACTGCAATAACACTTTTAATAGAAAAAAGTTGAATAAACTTAACCCTTACTTTTTTCTAGCAAATTCGCCAAATCCTAAAACAATCTATATTTAATAAATCTATCAGTACCTGATTTTTTTAGGGGCTCAAAACCTTTATTTTAGACTTATGACCTAGAAATACAAGGGTTTTCAAGACCAAAGATGACATTTTGGTAAAAGTAATCTTTGCGCGAAAAAAAAAAACAAAAAAAACACTATTGTCTCTCACTTTTTGCCTTGATTAACCTGCACTATTTTTATCATAATTTCTTTTATAGAAAATGAGTTTTCAAAGGGACCAAGGGCATTAGAAAGGTCTATTCAAGACGTACGAAACAACTACCCACATGATAAAGTTTAATTCCAAATGTTGGATAAAAATAGGGTTTTATAGAAAAAAAAAATCATGATAACAACTTTCAAGTGTGAGCAAACTTTCGACAACCTTTTGTTTTCCAAAATTGGCAAATTAGGTGCCACTATAAAGGTTTTTAAATAATTTTTGAAATTGGCCTAAGATCACAACAATCCAACTTTTTTTACAGAAAGCTATGATTATGAAGGCAAAGTTGCCAATTTCACTTGACTCGAGTTTCATTTCATGAACAAACAAAATGTATAATACATAGTAAGGTACTTAACATTAATAAAATGACAATAATAATAATAAATTATCCAAAGATATTATGTATTTATAATTATTATTATTATTATTATTACTATTTAATTTGTCAAGATCCCATTATTTTAATGACCATGGTTATGACAAAACAATTTCCCTCAAAACAAGGTACTTCTTGGAACCTCCTCAATTAATTGGCAAATATTTAGACAAACTCATTAGCTCAATAGTGGGTTAGTAGATGGGGATCCCCTTTCTCCATAACATATAACACCAACCATTCATTAAGCTGCTCTGCTCCCCTCCGATTCAAATTCTACCCCTATATCATCATTCTAAAACAAGATACAAAAGGGTGAGGAGAGATAAAGTGAAAAAAAAACCTAGAGAGAGAAAATGATGAGACAAAATGGAAAGAAGAAATGAAATGGAAGTGGTAAAATATAGAGAGGAAAAAGAGAAAGTGGAGAAAGACTAAACAAAGAAACAGAGAAAAATATCTACAGATAAATAAAAGAGGCAACCAAGAGAGAAAATATTAACAGAGAAAGTAAAGAGAAGAAGAGAAAAATAAAGAGAAAGAAGGGAGAAAATCTAAACGGAGGAAGCAAAAAGAAAATAACAAAGCATACCTTCCCCATCAGTTCAACTATTTGATTTCTAAAATGAATCAAACATGTTAAAGCATAATTGCATACAGAAAATAGAAGAATAACCAATAGATACAAAAATGTAGGATACACACATGGGAGAGAAAAAATACCAATGCCGCTCAAACTATCGAGTTCATAGGACAATGACCTATTTAAAGTTTTCAATTAACAAGATAATATAAATCCTAAAAAGGAAAAAAGAAAAGATGATGTTCTAAAAGCATAGTTACGTTTAAATAACAGTAGTGTATAAGGAAATAATAAAACCTAAAATGATTATATGTGTATGATGCATCACAATATCCACTATTTATTGGTCACAAGCAATCAAACCCCAGAAATATCATTTTCAAGGGAAGGGGAGGAGGAGAGGGTAATTGAGTCTTACTTGACTTTCGTCCTTTGGCAAATCCTCTTCGGCTTTCTCTTAGAAAATCGACCACAGCCACAGGATAATTGCAACTGCTACGGGTGTCAAGAACTGAAGTATCCAATATAGACTTCAAGGGGCTGAAATGATGACGCAAGAACGAGAGCTTGCCGAAATTGGCAGTGTTTCGAAGGAGAAGGTTTCTGGCAGTGGAAGCGCATCTCAGAGAAACTGCCATCATTGCTTTCATACTCTTACAAGTTACAATGCATTGCGCCCCCGTTCTATAGTCCAACGTCAAATTTTATGAACAAAAAACCCCGAAATAACAAAATAATAAATGGATTTTGAAACTTGGGTACTGCGGATTTTGGGTTTAAGTTTGATCTCTAAATTTTATGAAAATGACTTATTCATCCCTAATGTTTAGAAAATATTTAAAAAGTACCTATAATTAATTAAATCCGCGCCTACAACAGAATTTGTCTAACACTAGTAATGACTTTTCCACATTTCTTTTAAATTCACCATAACTTTTCAAAATATTTCCAAAACTCATCATCCATAAGAAACATTAATTTGTTTAAACATTTTTTTAAAATATCCAAAGAACCCTATGTCTGTGAATCAGTCATATTAAATATATTTTTATAATTAAAATCACCTTAAGCACCTACCTGCCTTATATATAAGATTTCTATTCATTGAGAGGCATTTTGCTCTCATCATCCTCCTTGAAGATATTCCAAGGAAGTTGAAAAATGGGCTTGGGTTCAAATAATAATAGAGGTATTTCTAAGATATTGAAAAATGGATTAAATATAACAAAGGGTAAAATGGTAATCTATTAATACTCATTAATCTATTTAACATCAGTTAAGGTCACGGGGTGGCCAAGATGTTTTGAAAAGTTATGATGAATTTAAAAGAAATATTGAGAAGTCATGGTGATTTTTAGACAATTTCTCTTTTTCTAAATATCAATATTATCCTTTTATGGTTAATTTTGCCTTTGATTATTCTTCAAATTTTCAAATTAAAATTCAACAAACCAAGTTTCTTCCTTTTCCTAAAATTCAAAGACACATCAAGTGGGAAGTGAGTAGCAACAAACTTTAAAATACGTCCACCAAGAGAAACAACTTTAGCGCACATAAACAAAATATTGTAAGAGCTTCAATTCTTGTTTGATTAGATTCTGTCTAAAACCCACGAAAAAATATGGATTGAGATATATACCCACTTTAATCATTGAAAACACAAGAATTCCTTTCACTTTAATTGAAGCCAATGAGAAAAACTAGTTGCTTTGTAAAGCGTTACAGCACCCCCCACACCTTTGTTTCGTAGACTAGACTAAAACAGCAAAAACAAGAAATGGCCTTCACAATTGTTACTTAAGCTGCGTTTGGTTGGAGTGCAAATGCTAAATCATTGCAAATTTGCACTTCAGTTCAGACTCGCATTTATTTGGTAAGGGTTCAAAAATACATCAATTTCAATGCAAAAATGTGTATAGACTAGGATTTGCATCCAAAATAAGTGAAAATATTGTTTCTTCATAACCAAAGAAAATTTTGCTCTCGTCGTCGGTCAAAGTAAATAGGCATACCCATTGCATCGATTTTGACTATTTTCTCAAAAGCCCTCTTCAAGAGTTTGAGAGAGAAGAGAATGATTCTGAGCTGCGATAGAGGTAATGATCTCTGCCTTCGATTTCTATAAATGAGAGAAGTAACTCTATTCTTACTTCGATCTATTGAATTCTTATTTTGATTTTTTTTTCCATTTTCAGATCGTTTCCCTTGTCGGAACAGAGATACATCCAAATTCACCGATCTGCCTTTATTTTCAGGGAGGTAAGTTTGATCGTTGAACACCACTGAATCTCTCCTCTCCCTATCATTAGTTCAATAAGTTCTATCATTTGCTTTTGATTTCTTATCGTTGTTCTAACTTTTTGATATGATTTCCTGTTTAAAAACCATTTATCTTTGCCAATAAATAGTGATAATAGATTTTGTGAAAATGAAAATGGCGTTGATCTTCAATTTTTCATCTCAGTATCTGTTAATGCCTAGTAATTTCTCTCTCTTTCTCTCCTGTTTTGTATTAGTCATTATTCTTGGGACTACACTCTAATGGGCTTTGTGTATTGGTTTGGCTCTAAGCGTTTGTGTTATCGGGAAATAAATAAAATGAAAGGAAAGGAAAGATGCTATGTTTCGCTCCAAGTGTTTTGGTTTTGAAGTGTTAAGAGCACACCTTTCACTTCGCACCAAAAATTGTTAGAGGCAAGCGCCTCAAGTCAGTGTACTTTTCAAGGGAAATAGTTTCTGTAAGAAGGGGTAGAATCAGTGAAATGAGTAAAAAAACCATTAGAAGCTATTAGGGCTTAGGATTTGAGCATTGAATTGAACTGTTGAAGTAGAAAAGCAGAACTAGCGAGTTGTCTTTAGTCTCTACAAGCTCGAATTAAGTAGGCTCTAAAATTATTGTTGCACGTCGCTTACAAAATTCATATCCTCAAGTGATTAAAACCAAAGAACATGTGAGTGCTCAGGTTCAAACAGGAGATTTTTTCTTCAAATTGCTAGTTTTCTATGGTTGATTACCCATAGCTTTATAATGGTTGAATAGAATTACCATCAGCGGATCTGCTATGATTGGAGTGCTCACCATTGTGCTCTTACTATAGTTCTTTTTCATTGTCAACATGCACTCTATCTCCTTGGCCAAAATTATTTCACTTATTCATTTCTTTTCTTATTTTTCATCCTTTATTTTTTGATTAACACAAATGTAATGGATGATGGACGATGTTGGTCAGTGCAGATTTAATTTACTAAAATTATTTCACTTATTCCTTTCTTTTCTTATTTCCATCCTTTATTTTTTGATTAGTACAATGTAATGGATGATGGGTGATGTTGGTCAGTGCAGATTTAATTTACTAATAATTATTAGGATTACTATTTAATGGATTCTTTTTATTTATTTAAGTTGATGAACGACTATGCTTAAAAATTAAATATGAAAATGAAATTACGTTCATGTATACAGAGAGGAAGAGAGCCCTGCCAAAATGCTATACAAACAATATAAGACATCTGCTTTTGGAATTCAAACTTGATTGAAATTACATTAAAACACTTGTTGGAACCTTCAATCACATGCAAGTAAACTTGATTGTATCATCTTGTTTTCTAATGTACTAGTGTTAAAACTCTTATAGGAGACATGTGTAGAAAAATTTGCTACTCCACAAGAGAAATTAACAAGTTTCTTTTGTAGCAATAAATATTCTTTGTGAATCTAAAGATATAGCATATAAATCTAGGAGGAATTTTATTGTTGGTTATATGTTCAATGATCATAAATTACAGGCCTCATTAACGAAAAATTCTTTGCCCTAAAGACAATGAAAGGTGTAATCTATCTTTTGATGATCTCTTTTCCCATAAATCATTCATTCTGATTTAGTAATTTAGACTAGCATTGAATGGTCCAGTTCAGAATGGTGAGTAGCACCTTTCTCGTTCAGACTGTTAGGCAGTTATGCCCTTAGCTGCAATCAAATTGATGTATTTATTGACATTTATTGTAAATTAATAAAGTGTATAATTGATTCATGTTATTTTGGTGTATTTCTATGTAATGCCCTTAAACTAGACACTAATGAGACTCGTGTTAATTTAGAATTTTTACAACCGAATAGACCTAGGGAGGTTTATCTTGCCAAGACTAACACTAATGTGCTGCCAAAAAGGTTGAGGTGGCTGGTCTCAATCTACTAGAGTAACACCCAAAGCACATGTAGTGTGGGTTTTACTAAAATCTTAAACCAGATCATTTTCCAGTTATGCCTTGGACGTTGAAGACAGATGGGCAAAACTATAAAGTTACACCTAACCCCTAAACTCGATTATGGTACTACACTAGGCGTTGGATTGCGTTGTCTTTGATATGCCAATCAGTGAGATCCTTAGCCATGTCAAAACCTGACTATGTTGGGGCAATCCAAAAATCTACCTAAGTGGGTGATCATAGTGATAGGATCAGCCCATTTGTCAGACAAAGTGAATTATCGATGAATGCACTCTCTCTGATGAAAACCTTAACTACTGACAGTTGATTTCAAACTTGTTGAAATTTGTTTTGCAAAATTTATATAGAGATATACTTATATATTATGGTTTCACAAAATGTTTGCAAAAGATTTAATTACCGGGATCCATGTAAGTAGAGAATGCAACACTGTACCTTGTAGCCGAGGGAGGGGTTTTCTCTTGTCGGGTAGTGTTCGGTCATTATGAGTTGAGAGGTTAAGTGTAAGACCATTGAGGGTTATACCTGATGGTTGGATCCATAAGGAGGGGTCTTCTCTGCCCACAATTCTTGGGTTTTCATAAGATAGCTGGATCCAAGAACCATTTAGTGTAAATGTTGGGCCCATTAAGAGCCCATGGTGATGGACTCAGGGGTTCATTGTCTCCTATAGTGAATTTGGCTAGGCCTTGTAACAAAAGCTGGGTTAAACCCATGTGACTGATGTAGAGATCAATGCTAGAGTCCTACGCCATACAAAAAGAGCCAAGCTAGGCAGCATATAAAATGGAAAGTGAGCTATATGACTTAATGGGCCTAAAGCCCATTTTGAGTTGGGCTTAAGTATTTTAATTAAATGGGCAAATTTGGGTTTATAACCTGATTAGGATTAACAGTTTGATAAGATAAGTCTTATCCAACTTAAGAGTCCAAATCCAAATATTAGATTTGGATCAAGAAACTCATTCCTAATTGGATTAGGAAGTTAATCTAGAGAAGGTTATAAATAAGGGGGTGAATTCTACGGAGAAATCGCTTATTCTCTGCAATCTTTTTCTTCCTCTGCTTTGCCTAGTTTGGTCTCCACCTCTTGGAGTGATTAAGAATTGTTCTTGATATCATTTCTTTGTGAAACAATCTGAAATCGTGCTCACACAACCCTACACGATTCTTGTTGAAGAATCACAAGTTTTTGCAAAAGAACCCTTCTTGCTGATCCTGCCTCAACATTCGCTGTGTCATCTTCAGTGGAGGCAGATTTGGTAACTTCTTTGGGCGTGAACACCTACGCTGGGTGTTGTTGTTATTCCATATCAAGTATATTCCTCTCCCTCTTTTGGTTTCAGATCTGGTCCGATTTTGTTTCAAAAACGAACCTTGAAAATGCAGTTTTCTAAATTAGGGAATGTAATTCTCAGATGGGAGAAATAAATTTTTGAAATTTCGCCCGCCACCCTGCATGGTTCTGCCATCCATATGATGGATCTCCCATCCCTTCAGTGGTAT